GAGGCTGCCAGTCTTCCAACAGCGAGGCCCTGATGTGCCCGCTTGGCGTCAATTCCTTAACTTTCTGGGTTGTGTGTTGATTCTCCCCGTGTACTACTTCATCACCGGTTACAGTCGTCATCCCTTGACGCTGGATATCTTGATTAGCATCTTCGTGGCTGAATTCAATCGATATGCCAACGAGGGGCGGCGACGCCGGCTATATGGCCTTGATGCGCCGACAAAGGCTAAAGAAGACCCCGAAAAGGCGCCCATGTCTCCTAGCCCCCATATAGGTCCCGAATGCTTGGCGGTGGTGGTAGGCTATCGCGAAGACCCGGAACTCTTCCGTCGTGCTTTGGATAGCTACAAACGTGCTGACGGTTGCCGTTTCATGCTGGTTGGAGTGGACGGTGACGAGAAGCCCGATATGGATATGGTTCGCGTCTTTCAGGAAGCGTATCCCGAAGACTCAGCCATCGTGCATCTTGATGAACCGTTTGGCGAGATCGCCATGCGCACATACAGGAAAATCTCGGAATCTAGCTACGAGACTCCTGAGCGCTGTCAGGAGATGACCATTGCCCACTGTTGCCAGTTGGCCCGGGAGATTCTCGCCGAACATGACCTTGGACTGGGTGAACTAGGAGGTATTACCAAGCTGTGCTTGTACCAACCGCATATGCACAAGAAAGCAATTATGTTCACCTCGTTTATTTTCTCTATCGTAATTTCAGACATTCTCGGCATTGAATACATGTGGTCTTCCGATTCCGATACCATCGTCTTTACAGATTCCGTGCGCCGCACCGTTGAGACGATCGCCGGAGATCCAACAGCCGGCGGAGGCAGCTCTGGATTGGTGGTGCACAATGAAGATGATTCGATGACGACGAAACTAGGAAGCGCAGTCTACTGGTGCGAGCTGTACATGACGAGATCGACCTCTGCGTCTTCGGGCACGAGCGACTGCCAGAGTGGTCCAAGTACCGCGTTCCGGGTGTCCGCTTTGCCCTCAATTCTATACCCCTGGTACACACAGACAGTCTTTGGTCGTCGGATGGTTAGTCTAATCCTCAGGCTCCTTTACTGCATTTGGAATTCCAGCTAACAATCCCATAGATTATCAATGAAGACCGCCATCTAACAACAAACCTTCTCTTGCGCGGCTGGACGGTCACATACGCGTCCGACACATTAACAGCAACTGATACTCCAACAACATTCAGCCGATGGCTCCTCCAACAAGTCCGTTGGGGTCGAGCAACGCATATCGAAAGCTTCCAGCAACCAAAAGTCTATCTCCTCAATCACCCTGTCTTCTTCTGGGCTGCGATGAAGAAAGAGGTCGGCCCGCTCCTCGTCTTCCTCTGTGTGCTCTACTACCTCGTCACCGGCCAACGCTTCGCCTACTTCTCCTCCAATGACGCTTTCCTCCGTGTAGCCTACACAATCGGTTACAACTGGCTGCGTAACCCAGACCGCGGACCGCGCAACGCCTGGGTCTGGATCGCCCCCGCGCTAGTCTTCTACAACATTCCCCTCCCCAGCATCCATCTCTGGAGCATGTTGACCGTGTTCGACGGCGGATGGGGTACTTCAATGCGGTCGAATGCCGAGTTGTCGAAGCGCGAGCAGTTCTGGAAACGTGCTTATGACCTGGGTTTCTTCGTGGTGTGGATGGGTATTGTTGGGGGTACCGCTGCCCGGATACTATCTGGTTATGCGGGCTGGGATGCAGCTGGTACGGTGAAGGCCATCTTCTTGGGCGTTTTCGTTCCGTCCGCTGTATCGTTTTACGGGTTGTTGGTTCGTGGATAATTTTCATTCTTGGGATATATTTAATTCAATAGTATTATAATTTAGATCAAACGACCGGTTAGAATATGCACATATATTATTCAAGCTCAATGCTCGATATTGCTTTGTTGAAGAGACGATGGGTCTGTGTAGTATAGACATTCATACTCAACATAGTTACGTCCTATTTACAAGTTACGATGACGCGAGTATTGGGTAGTACTGTGGTGATTGCAACTATTGCCAAGAGCACATTTCCCTGCGCTTGTCCTTACTACGGTTCTTGTAAAAATTGCAATCTTTCCACTTTACCATGATACTACTATACATCGCTCCAATACACATGAGACACGGGGCTACCTCCGAGGCAACTCCTTCAGCTCCAGCAAGCTCCACTTAAGTCCTATATAGTGTCTCATCCATAGAATGAGAATGAGGTATAGTTTAGCCATAACTTCTCTAGAGAAGCTTAGTCGAAGCCACGGCCAACGCAAAGCCACAATGAGCGATCTTCATTGACTCTATACATTCTATAGTCTATACTTATAATCTGTGTCTTTAAGCAAGGAGGAAGAGGCTGGCCATACATGTAGACCGGTAAACTATTTGTACATGAAACACATACGATGGACTACCTTGCATGGATGCCATGTTCGAGAAAGATGCAACGCCAAGGAGCCAAATTTACTTAGTTGAGACATGTCTCTGCGATATTACGTCTGTCGATCGATCCACAGCTGAAGATAGCCACGAGTCGCCCCACTCATCCGTCTAATACGATGATAACGGTAATCGTGGCTTGCTACCTAACTTAAATCCTACCGTAAGCTACATGATCCATCCTATAGTGTACAATCAGATACTGTTCAATGGTAGAAGATGGGGATTTATCATTAAGTTCGACATGGACCTCTCTGGTTGTTGGTTGCCATTCTCTGTGAGTATGTGAGCTCTCAGCTAGGGATAGTCCCCACTGGGGTTTATTATTGGGAGCTATCGCCATCCATGGAATCTTTGGATGTTGTTGCGAAATAGTGTGGCGGGACGATCAACACCCCTAGCGTTTGGACCCTGAGAGAGGCGGGTATGTATCAAGCGAGGAAGCAGGTCCCTCGGTGGTTTATGCTCTCCACCCATGTAATATCAAATTGCCCGAGTATGAGATGCGTTTGGCGGAGTTTATTGATCGTTATGCAGGTACACGTAAGAAGCATTGGGAAATGAAATAGTTGCGTGGAGGTATCGAATTGAGTCAGGGACCGGGGTTGATTCATAAGGAGGGGCGTGTAGATCTTGCTACTTCTCAACATGAGCTCACATATTTGCGAATTCAATACATATCACATTTCTTGAGCGAGTTAGGACATTCCATAGGGCTCAACAGTGTCACCATACATAATTATGCATACCAAGCAAAGTAAACAATGCATACACAACATCTTTATGCATTATCAGGTGACCTTTGGTCCCTGGATGACTCAGTTTGAACTACTATCAGGACATCATGTGATTTATCAGTACCATCACGTGCCACATCCCGCTGATAACGCATGAATTTTTTGGAGATCAACAAAATTCCCGCGGAGACAAAATAATCACCAGGAATTGCGAAATGGGAAAAGTCGCTCGAACCAAGCACAGCAGCGGTGCCAGAGGCCCGTACCAGAAGCCCGACCAGGGGCCACTGGGTAAAGCAGCATCTGCGATTTTCAAGTTCAACACCGACCTCGGTCAACATATTCTGAAGAATGGAGCGATCGCCGATGCCATTGTCGACAAGGCCAATATCCAGCAGGGCCAGACTGTTTTGGAAGTCGGTCCCGGTCCCGGTGTTTTAACGAATCGCATTCTCGCGAAGGCTAAGAAAGTGGTGGCAGTCGAAGTCGACCCTCGAATGGCTGCTGAACTCACCAAGAATGTACAAGGGACACCAGCGGAGAAGAAACTCCAGATTGTCCTCGGTGACTTTGTCAAGACGGATTTGAGCCAGTTGCCTCCGTTCCAGATTTGCATCAGTAATACCCCTTATCAGGTATGTGTGCTGTGTTTCTCTTGGGTGGATTGTCGCTCAATATGAATGCGGGGCAGACAACTGACGATTTAATTACACGATAGATTTCTTCCCCGCTTATCTTCAAACTCCTCTCCATGCCTAATCCTCCCAAAATGTGCGTTCTGATGGTTCAGCGTGAATTCGCCCTCCGTCTTGTTGCCCGGCCCGGAGATGCCTTATATTCTCGACTCTCGGTGAACGTCCAGTTCTTCTCGCGCGTCCAGCATATCATGAAGGTGGGCAGGAACAACTTCCGTCCTCCACCACAGGTCGAGTCCAGTGTGGTCCGGGTCGAGCCCAAGTCCGATCGTCCGGCGATCAGCTGGGACGAATGGGATGGTATGCTCCGTATATGCTTCGTGCGTAAGAATAAAACCCTGCGTGCGGGCTTCATGGGGAACAAGACGCGCGCCATGATTGAAAGAAACTGGATCACTTTCGCCACGATGTACCCAGAGAAGGTTACGCAGGCAGATATAGAATTCATGCTGGGTAATGGTGAGCCAGAGCCTATGGAGGACGTGGAAATGGATACCAATAACGACGCGGAAGCTGACGATGTCCCTGAGATGGACGAGGATGATATTCTAATGGGTGATATGGCGTTCGAAAAGAAGAATGTTCCGGAAATTCCCAAGGGGACTCTTCTGACTATCGGCAACAACAAGGTTTCTCGAATTATGGTGACCAAGTTAATACAGGCCAAGATTCAGCGCATCCTGGACCGGACTGAACTGGCCAATGCTCGTGCACAGAAGTGCGACGAGAATGATTTCCTTCGTCTTCTTCACGCTTGCAATAAGGAGGGCATTCACTTCTCATAGTCAAGTGACGTCCTGTGCTAATTTGATTTTCGACGAGCAATGAGATTTGTATGTATGTGGGATGGGCACGCTGTTACGGGATAGCAGCCAGTTAGCGAGCACATTTTTTAGAGTTAATGATATCCTAAAAGTTTTTGATGAAGCAGTCAACTTCCAGCCTTGAAGTTATAGACTTTTGCACGGTCTAGAGCGAGCGAGGAGAGTTATTCTAGCCAAAGCCCTTTGTATACGAACCGGGAGATGAATCCTACACGCAATGCGAGGAACAGGAGGTTACATTCTTGTCACTAGATAAAGATCTCGATCCTGAACTTATCATAAGCTGTAATAGATCAATAGGGCTGAACACACACGTGACTGTCCTCAAAGGAATTTCTAAATAGCGACAGACATCAAGCTAAGCTCGTGTCATTTCTTGTGTAGTGGCCTGGCTCATTAGATGCAGTCAGATATGAACTAGATCAGCCAGGATCAGAAGCTTTGATTGACAAGGCTATACCCTGCGTGGTGGGTTGTATCACGCCGTCGTGGGAACCAATGTAGCTCTACAGCTGCAACTAACTCTCTCCCTGGAACTTGTCATAGAGGCATATTCCCAAAAATGATAGCCATGCGCGGACTGGTGTCTATGACTTGGGGCACGAAGCAGTGATAATCTGGAAAAAAAGAGGACCGAGATCCACGTCGAGTTCACTAGGAAGTGGCTCCCACCTCAAGTCATTGAATCCAACCTGGACAGAACATTCCTCATGCAACCACGGCTCAAGCATATAGCAGAAGAAAGCTATCGGGTCCGTAGTGTCAAGAATAACTTGAATGCGGGTTCCTTCTGTGACCCGTTCGAGCACTTTGTAAGTCACTCCCCCAAAGTGGTATTCCTGTCCACAGGCAGTTGTCTGTAGTATTTCGTAATTTGGAATGACTCCGACAAACCGCCCACCGGGTTTCAGGCTGTGAAAAATGTTCTGCCACATCGCCAACAACTCCGTTTTGTTCTTGGCATAGTTCAGAAGCCAGACACCTAGAACGAGGTCAAATGACCCCATGTTGAATGGCGCAATGCAGTCTACAACATGGAATTCAGAGGGTTCCTGTGCCCGGGCCTGAAGTCGTGCGCTGTCCACCATGGCCTTGGAGATATCCACGCCAACAACCTTCTTCGCTCCCAAGTCAATACTTTTTCTGGACCAGTACCCGGTTCCGCAGGCTAAGTCAAGCACCTCGAGGCCGTGAACCACACCAATTTGGCTTTCAAGGATATCTTCTAGTAGCCATAAGCTAGGAAGATTGATCACATCGTTGTAGCGCTGTTCGATCCTGTTGAACTGGAGTGGATCCATATCTCACAACTGAGGGACAGGACCTGACTGCCTTTTTTTTGCCTATAAGCGGACTGCTTTGGAAATTGACCGAGTGCTGTCAAGCACTAAAATCAGTTATATCCAGTCAACCTCGGGAAGAGACAGCTCTGTAACCCTGACGTAATTGTGTGCGCGCTGCTGTATGTCATATGATGGTTCCTTAGAAGAAAAACTGGAAGATAGATGGATGAATTTAGCTTTAGCCATGACAGCCTTATGCGATAGAGTTTAAATAAGACTTTCCTAGTAACCTACTAACCCCTCTCAATACCTAATACAGCGTCTTACTTATCTAAAGCCGTGCGATGAGTGTATATATATTTATATATATATATATCTCTCTCTTTTTTTTTGGTATAGTCTCCAGGTTGGAGTTTCCGTGGAGTGCAAGTGACAGTTGATTTTGGACATGTGTTCATCTTATACGATACTAGCCTCCAAAGTTAAACAGAGACTAATTAATCCAGCCATTCATCTCGGGAAAGTACTTATCAAAGTTACGGAGGCAACAGATTTGCTTTCTGCTACTGGTAGCGCCCCTGTTCATCCCAGGTCTCATTTAACACAAACCTTTGCCACAAACAAATAGGATTTAGAACCATCGTCCGTCAGTGGAGCCGGAAGTCCAAATTACCCAACCAGTGGAACCTAATTTATGGGTGCGACTTTTGCTGGTGAAGCGGCCGACCTGGTGGTTGAGCTTCCCCAAGCCATTTGCACCAGAGGCTGGTGTTGAGCGGGGTCTACTAAAAGCATTCTTTATTTATATCCCTGCCATGTTAGACATCAGGGGTCAGGGCTTTGTTTGCTATATGAAACTCGACATGTTTGCTACGGAGAGCTATCTACCAACAGGATAGATTCTTCCGTTTACCCTGGGCATTCAATAGTAGTAAACACCCCAATTTAAACAGAATTCGTCACCGGCCTTCCAAAATGGCAACATCACAAAAAAGACATCCAGAGCTATTTAGACCCGTCAACAGCAAGTCCCCAAGGGGGATGAAGCGAACAGTTCCTCTGGAATGCCTGTGTCTGGGGTTTAACCGGACGGGAACGGCATGTAAGTCGCAGCTCGCATTCTTGGCATTCCCAAGGAGGGCCTGGTGTCATCAGGGGAGGCGTGATGCTGACCGAAAGAAGCCATGTACAATGTACTTGAGATACTGGGCCTACCATGCTGGCACTCCACCCAGTTCATGTCGACGCGATTTGGTGACCTCGAGATGTGGCAGCAGGCGGTGGATCGAAAGTTTTCTGGGGCAGGACCCAAATTCGGGCGCCAGGAGTTTGACCAGCTGCTGCATGGCTTCGGGGCCGTCTCGTCCGACACCCCGGCGATTGCGTTTGCTGATGACCTGATCGAAGCGTATCTGGAGGCCAAGGTCGTGCTCTTGGAGAGGGATATCGACTCGTGGTACGAAAGCTGGATGAAAAGCGTGATTAAAAATACTTATGACCCGTTCGTCACGGTCATCTATCACATCGATCGCTTCTTCACTCATCCGATTGGGAGAATCCACAAAACAACCTTGCAGGGTTGGTTGGGAATATCTAATCCCGAGGATGCCCGTCGCAAGAGTAAAGCCAAGTACAGACAACATTACGAGCGCGTCCGGAGCATAACCCCCAAAGACAGGTTGCTAGAGTACAAACTGTCGGATGGATGGGAGCCTCTGTGTGAGTTTCTAGGGAAACCAGTGCCGGACCAGCCCTTCCCTCATCTTAATGAGAAAGAAATGGCTCGATGAAAAAGTCCTGCTCGTGCTTAACCAGAGAATGAAACGTTTGGCGTGGAAGGCTTTTCTTTACTTCCTGGGTCCGCTGACTTTAGCTGGGTTGGTCTACTCTGCAATGTGACGGGCGTTATATATTTTTTGTGAAGAAGCTCAGTTCCAGAAAACCAGTGTTCTTTGGTATACTGATTTGTCAGTCCGATATTATGCGAAAAGGAGGAACATATATGTTTGCTACTGTTCATATATTCCTCTGAGAATAGAAAAACATCCATCTAGTAGAGACTCAGCGAACGGATACAAACATGTTTTAGAACTTGACGTTTTAGATGCAAGCGATATAAGCCAGTTGGGGATTGATTATACATAGAATGCTTTAAGATTCCAGTCTTCTAGTCGACCTACCGCAGCGCGTACTATGACTAGAGATCAAAAGTAAGAGTTTTCCGTCTCGGAATGTAAATTGAAAGGTTATTCTCAGGAATATGACATCACTGTAACTATGTATGTAACATTTTTGATCTCATTAGCTATACCACACCACATTCGCTGGCCCATTATCTAGATCGAGGTGCGCAGCCACAGTCGCCGCACTTCCATCGGCTGACACCTGCCAAACCTCGATAAAGTTACTGCCACTGTCCGTTATAGCGAAGTAGTCTTCCGAAAAGATGGCAGGGGAGACCGAATTAGCCCCACCACCGCTACCGGTCGTCTGAGAAAGGAATAGTTGCTCCTGTATAGCCCCCGTTGTTGCATCAAGGCTAAAGGCAGTCACGTAGCCGGGTGAAGATGTATATCTTGACCGTGAAGAGGCAAAGAGATATTTAGGTGACTCGGCGCTGCTGACCGAGAAAGCGACCTCGTCGGACATGTAGGATGATGTGTTTGTATAAGCTAGAGATCCGGTCAGTAGGTGTACATAATGCGTTATCGTGTGACGCAAGTGAATGTAGCACCAGGATAATCAGGATAGGCTCCCTTGGTTACTTACTAGATGGGATAAGGGGGTATGTGGTGTTGGTATATGTCAGCTTCCCAGTACTGGTATCCCTAGAGTAAACAGCGAGCTTGTTGCCTTCCTCAAAGACGACATAGACGTAATTTCCTTTGGGATGCACTGCTAAATGCCGCGGGTTGGCGCTCGATGGCGCCGCAAGGTATTGCACTTCCTCGATAGCGCCAGTAGTACTGTCGAACGAGTGGACCCAAACAGCATTGCCCATGTCGTCAGCTGAGTAAATAAAAGAGCCCTTGGGGTTGACAGCTAGGCCGTGTACGCCTGAGCTGTTCCCGTAAGTGATGTCACCAACGATGGACTGGAGGGCGCCAGATTGATCTATAGTAATTGCTTGTCCGGAACAACCGATACTGTAAGGTGCACCAAAGACTGTGTACGGGGATGAAGGCGACGAGACAATATAATTGAGATTATCACCTAAGGTTCTTGTTAGCTTATATCTTCTACGGCAGGGTTGACGAACAGGTTTCGGATATTGCCAGGCTACTCGTGAGAGTTAGTCCTAGGTTGCTAGCGATTGTGTAGCTGTTGTAGGAGGCTCCAGAAGCAACATAGATATTCTCCCGTCGCTCCTAAATGCGATCTGTTAGTACCACAGTAAAAGTTTAGATAGAAAGATGGCATACATCAATTGCGATCCATTTAGATCCATTAGAGCTGTTAGTAGTAATGTTATTGATGACTATCAGCGTGGAAGTCTCGTCGTCAAATTGGATACCATAAAGTTGCGATCCTGAAAAAAAGCCTGAGTATAGTTGATGTTTGTTACCCAAGACAGGCTTGGTGGAGATTGCAAGTAGAGCTAACAGCAAAGAGGGATACATGGCTAACAACCGAAGAGCATTATATTCTGGTACGATGAGCGAAAGACACATCCTTCACAATGATGCTTAGGGAGTGTAATACCTTTATAAGTCTTCGCAATCACGACATTTGTTGTACGCGTGTACCTGTTGGGATTAATTTTGATACCCAGTTGAAACTATCAGCACCCTCACATATTGGGCCAATTGTATTACTTCGTTATGTCTCAGATAGTGATCCTGATGTATACGAGTCCCAATCATGGCACCAGCACCTGCCGAGATGTCGATCAATTTTTTCCTCAATAAGTTAACGACTGTTGCTACTGAAGCTTGTCAGAGAAAGGGGCTACAAAATACCAATAAGGTCTCGGAATTTACAAAACAAGACCCGTGCCAAAAGCTTAATCGATATAGGCCTCGTCAGCGTCCTGAAACGATGAGATTACTTTAACCAGATATGGATAAGTTGGACCTTAGGGCATAGCCTCCGGGTGGAGGCCGCGTATACTCCCATGTTGATCGTGGGCGGGTATATGATTAATCCGTGTTGTCAGGTTAGTAGTCGTCGGCATATAATCTCCGATGAGTAAGTAATTTGTGAGATTGAAGGATCGAGAAAGAGAGTCATGGATATACATAGTATATGGTTTCTATTACGGGGATCATCTTACACAATGAAAAAATCCGATGACTCATCCAAAATGGCTGGAACTGGTCTGGAAACAAAGAAAACAAATTCTTGCTTCTTAGACAATCAAAATCATCTATCATCTGCAACAGTTGATGCTAGAAAACATCAAGCAAGACGCTATATCACGTTATTGGGAGAGGAATGGCGGCCAACTCGACCAACCACGAGGAGTTTGTTTCGATGGGTGACAGATGAGAACCAGATCAAGCCTCACTACCCACTGCAATACGCGACGGCGGCTACGGCTGGGTCATAGTTTTTGCATGCTTCATCCAGACCTTCTGGGTGAACGCGTGGACAGGCTCCTGGGGTATCATTCAGGCAGCCCTCCTGCTGTAGAGCAGTATGCGCACCGTTTCAGCGAGCACGCTCTCCTTTGTTGGGTCGCTGGGCTTGTCACTTACTGTAGCTCTTGGGCTCGCCTGTGTCTGACTGGCTAGCGTTATTGGTGCACGGTGGAGTAGCCTGATTGGGATCGCATTGTTCGGTGCCAGCACACTCGTGGGCAATTTCACTGTCAGCAATATTGGCGGCCTGTTCATGTCGGCCGCCCTGTACGGTCTGGGAGGGAGCCTGATGTTCACCATGTCCAATAGCCTACCACTCCAGTGGTTCAATGACCGCCTCGGCACAGCTAACGGTCTTGTCAAGCTCGGGGGTGGTATCGGTGCCACAGTCATGGCGCTTGTTGTGCAGCAGCTCATCGATAAAGTTGGCATCGCCTGGACCTTCCGCGTCATGGCCTTGACCTCTCTGACGAGTGGGATTCCGACCGCCTTGCTAATTAGAGAGAGGGCGCCCTCTGCCTCCTCTACAATAAACATGTCGCTCTTCCGAAACCTGACCTTTTTCTTCCTGTTCGTAGCCGGTTTCACTGGGATTTTCGCCCTCTACATCCCTTCTTTCTTTCTGCCTACCGTCGCCACCTCGATCGGACTGTCCTCCACGACTGCTGCGGCTGTCATGGCTTGCTACAATGCTTGCATGGCCCTGGGCCGTCTGGCTTCAGGCATCGCCTGTGACAAGCTCGGCCCCACCAACATGCTGCTCCTGACTATGGCCCTCAACGCCGTCACTATGCTGGCGATATGGTCCGTTGCATCCACCTTAGCTGTACTCTTCGTATTTGCCGCTCTGAATGGAATCGCAAATGGGGCCTTCTTCGTCACCATGCCGACAGCCATCGCAAGACTACTGGGCCCACATGCGGCGCCTGCGGGCATAGGTATGGCCATCACAGGCTGGAGTGTCGGTGACCTGCTGCGTAATCCGATTGCCGGCTTCCTGATCGCTGCCACGCATGCAGATCGAGCGAACTCTATCTTGCCATATCGTGCGGCCATCTTCTATGCCGGCGGAACGGCCGCCGTCTCAACAGCTCGCGTACTGGTGGCTTGGCTGAGAATGGATGCTAATCTTATCAAGAAGTTTTAGGGCTCCTTTACCTGAAAATATGCTATCACAGCAATTGGCACCACTCAATACCTTTTATTTCTTACATCTGATTATGGCCCGTTGCGTTCAACGCAATGGCTCTGCTTTCCTGCCTCGTTTTTAGTATCTACCGTCTGTTCGATGGCCTCAATCGAGCGCATGGGCTATTGGGGTCAACTATACTGTGTTCCTACCTGGAGTTGCTGCTCGCTTTAGCAAGTCTTGTGAAGAATATCTATAGTCGATATAGGCTACTTAGGTGTTTTTTAGTGCATTGTATGAGGCCGTAGGTGACTGAGTCACGATCCCTGACTAGTATAATGGCCTGTTTGAGAAACACAATAGTATGACTTTGATAGATTTCATGTAAATTTGCTATTTTTTGATGCTGTCTGTCGCCGTTGAGTTTTAACCCCAGTAATATGGGAGCGTCATTCTTGTACTGGGGCAGAGTTATCTACATTGGTAATTCTATACAGTACCAGGACAGCACCACCTTTCTATAATACCAAAGATTCTCGAATCCAAAGGTTATAATAGGTTATAATGTGTGCAATGAAAACAAAAGAAATGATGTCGTTTGTATAGCACTCCTAGATGAAATCTACATGGTAGGGAGTAGAATTACTCTGTTGACAACGAGCATGCGATTTCTATCGAGGTGCGACTTGATTTCCGGTCAGATCAATAGCACAAACCTAGTTCAAAGTGACCTACAACTAAGACAATGCAGCTATTACATGGTCCTATGTGCTCCGACGCAGGTGTGTTCTTTGAGCCTAATCATCATAAGCACGGACTATCGCCTTTGAAAATATCAAGTAGTTGGGTTAAATCTCAACAGCCTTGATGACAGAACGAGCCATCGAACTGTAAACTTTGACCTCCCTCATATCCTCTTACGATATATCCAAAATAAGAACGGCGATGGGATCCCAATTACAACACTGGGAAATGCTAACACACTGTTTCCCCATCCATAGTGCAACGAAGCAAACATATATGGTGCAAATAGAGGGATCCCAAATGCGGCAATATTTCTCAGCAATACAGCTGCTGCAAGACCACTCGCCGCATACTCTGCGTAACTATCAATGACATACACCTGCATAGACTGCATACAAGTGATTTATTCCAAGGAGAATATGAAACTTCCTATATTCGGCATAATCCAATGTGTATGTGCCTGCACGCTCCACCCGTACCAAAACATACCAATAGGAATCAAGGCAGAACCGACGAACATAGGGGGAACCTGGAACTCAGGTTCCCCTTTTGAGCTTCTCTGCAGGTCATTTGTACTTCTGCGTGCCTGAAGGCGTCGGTATATGGCGTCGCTGCTGTGCGCGTTGATTTGGGAGCCGAGTACATAGCCAAGACCAAGAGAGATGTAGTCTAGGCCACTGATGCCAATGTTCTCGCCATATTCTTATGTCCAGACTCCGGGATATGTGGAGAAAAGGATGTATAATACACCAAAGACAACAGCCATGTAAATGGCGACGACCAAAATGATAGGTTCTGTGACAAAGAATTGTAAGGGGCGAACAGATGCCAATCGTAACCGCGTCGCCAGAGACTCGCTAGTAGTACTGCCTGTGGTTGCTTCGTGGGATTCGTGGTGCTGTCTCTGTTTGAGCAGGACTAGTGTATATGTCTCGCGTATGGAGACAAAGCCGACGATTCCGATAACCCCCGCCGCCATGTTCGTGGAATAAAACATCCATCGCCATGTTGTACGCTCAGTGACCCAACCACCGGCAAGGGGCCCTATGACGGGACCCAGAGCGGCGCAAGGCTGTATATACCGACCGTCTGTCCGCGTTCTTCTGGAACCCAGAGATCGCTTTCCTACGTTAAGTCGGTGACCATAAGATGACTCGTAATTGAGAGTACATGATCACACCAGCACCCACAGCCAACGGTGCACTGCCACCGATTCCTGCCAGGAATCTAGAAGTAATCAATTCTGACTTGTTTCTTGCCGGTCCACAACCTAGAGTCCAGGCCAGATAGAATACGTTCGACGCTAGCAGAACCGGCGACCGTCCAATGGCTTCAGATAAGGGACCGAGGAGTAATGGGCCGATGGCGTACGCGAGCATAAAAATTGTGAATGTGAGCTGCGAGACTGCGGCATCGATGATGTTAAGATCCGCTGCCATGTTCGCGAGGGCTGGTGCAACCATAGTTGACGAGACTGATGGGAGGAGTGTGAAGCAAGAAACAATTATAGCGATAACCCACCTCTGGGGCCTAGACCAGGTTAGAGGCTTTGTTGGATGTAACCGTACTGATATATTCTGTTCACAATGTCTCTTATTATTGTGTTTCTCTCTTCCACAAAAGAAACGATCAAAATTCAAGCACTACTTACAGTTGGATAATGATCCTGGGCATTTGATTGATTTTCTCTATCTTCAATATTCTCTGGCCATCTTGTAGACACTGAATTTTCATTCTCGCCAAGATCTCGCTGTATTGGATTATGTTAATGCCCTTGTACAAACGCCATAGAAACGAATAGTAGATAGAGGTATACCAAAAGAGAGATATGAGCAATGGTAGTCTATGAAGCCTCGAGTCTTTCGCTTTGCACTTCTGGATGAAGCATGACAGCTTTACTCTAGATTCTATAATCGAATTTACCCGACCAGGGAAGCTGTTGGAGGTGAGCACAAAGAGATCTTGGAGAGGGAAACGGGGAGAGTTGGAGTAGGAGCGGGGAGGCGTTGAGGTAACATGAGGCAACAACTATAGGAATGCCGCTTTAATATGCGGTATTATGGCTATATATGCCCTGGCTAGTATTTTGGATATTTCTTGCTCGATAAAAGACAGCCCGCTGCACATGAACAGGAGAGGATCGCAGCAGTTGCTATAAGGTTGTGGTGAAACTCGAGATAATTGAATAGCAGTGCACAGAACTTGTTTAACCCCGTTCATATGCCATCCGCTCATTCATAAGGTATCCGATACGACCATTTGCAGCCTGCATCTCAGCCTCCTTTGCCTCCTGAACCAATGCACAACACGGGCAGAAGCAAACAGTGCAGCAGTCCCCGCAGCATGACTTCTCGATGCCAAACTTGTCCTTCATTGTGCGTCTCTTGCGGAAGTGACATACTGCGTTCGTACAAAGCAAACCTGTAATAAAGAAAACAATACACTGTAGAGTGAAGGGTGGTTGTAGTTAGCATAATATTCAAGAGTTGCTGGAGGAGTAATGGAAACGCGGATCTCACATCGCCATTGCAGCAACTGTAGGAGCTGAGTGTTGGGTCTTTTAGCCTCGCTTGTGTTCTTCCAAATGATACGCATGGGCAAAGCCAGCTGAGAAGCGCTGGACGTTAGGATTGCAGGTTAGCTCGGCGAATACACATCTGAAGTAGGGAGTAAATGTGATTATTTGAAGGCATACCAGTGTTGATGGGGCAACAACAAGCGAATAGACTGTGACTCCAGCCTTTTTGTTCAGCAGCCATTATTGTGTCCTATCTCCAATGTCTTCTACTTAATAAGAAGCCTTACTAGATATATGACTTGAAAGAATAGAACTTGGTATGGGTTGCAGAAAAAACTATCGGTTTTTAGGTAGATATATTATTGACCAGAACCCTTAAAGTGTAACAGATCTACAGGAGGATTGAACCCATTTTTGACAGGCTATCCCGCTAGCTCTACAAGAATTGTTCTAAGGCTTCTAGTCAATTCTAGGCATCGTGTCCGAAGAAAATATGTCTGCCGCTACTCAGCTACGCCACACCGGAGCAATATAAGTCAAATGTGAGGCCTTCATTCAAGAATGTTTCTGCCTACATGAACTATCACACCAAATGATAAATTTTAATTATCGAGAGGACACTTCTAATGCATTAAGACAATGAGATGATGCCTTTACAACAAGTACAAGTATAAGATCATGTACAAATTCAGCCCTAAGTAGTAGCTACTCCCTGATATCAGTCCAATTCAAGTTTCCTGAAACCTTTATTCGGCCTTTCGCATATGTCTATTGGTGTAGCGGCAAACTAGGGCTAGAAAATTTCAAACTTCGCGTATCCGAGACACATGCCATCTACTGGAGAATTTCCACACTATATGCGGCATGATTGAAACGGAAAATGGTTGCCTGTTCTGGGCTACGATTCTCAGGAATCTATATTATAAAGAGTCATGGGAAAATCGCAAGACCTGATGGTGGAATAGGATTGACTAATGCTTTACTCGATTATGCCCCACTAGGCCAATGTTTCCAATAATCATCAGTGCCGTCCCGAGCCAAACTTGCGCTTAGCCATTCTTAAATCGATCTCCACTGATTAATAAGAATTCTGGTGCCTGGAAAAGCTCACTCCCTGGGACTGCCAAGAAGAGGGTAAACCCCTTATTTCATGCTCAGTGTCCAGGGTTCGGTTTGCCGTTATATAAAGCACATATGGTAGATAAACATAATTCCCAAATAACGCCGAGAGGGAAACGTGAGACCTGGTATTATATAACATGTAATGTTATGAATTCAACAAGCTTGACTATGAAGGGCGTCTCAAATAGAATACCTATGTGCTAATTGATCATTTATCTACTATCAGCTGCCGCCCTGTGGGATGGATCAGACTTGGAAAACATGATTTGAGACATCGAAGTAGCTTGGCATTCTGGATCTAGGAACTTAGGCATAATGGCCGTTCTATGGCGCCAACCCAAGCGCAGCGTTGAGCAGGCCTTTTTCCCAAGCTTACCTCTCGGTTTGTTTATTGCTGCCTTGACATGATAAGAGGCTATATATTTCTCTTCTCTTCCCTCTAAACTACATGGTCATTGTCTGCAACCCTTTTCTCAATATGAAGCTCTCTATAGTGCTTGGCGCCGTCGCCATATCTGTAGCAGTGTCTGGTGAGAAAATTCTCATCGAACATTATACTATGCAGAAGTTTCCCTCTAACCCTTCGAGTCTCTATAGGGTTAACGGGTTTAGAAGAATACCATGGTAGCAAAGCTATGGCGGTCAACGTGCCACGAGCTTTGCCTAGTGCACCAAAAGGCTACAGGCCGACTGAGGTTGACTGCCCCGACACTCGCCCAGCCATTCGCAGCGCTGCGCATCTCTCCCCGCATGAGACCTCGTGGCTCAAGGACCGCCGCCAGAAAGCCCTGAAATCACTGATAGACTTCTTCAGTCACGTCCATATAGCAGATTTCGATACAGTATCCTATATCAACAAAGTGTCAGGAAATATATCCAATGTCCCTAACATCGGTATCGCTGTATCTGGAGGAGGGTATCGTGCCTTGATGAATGGCGCAGGGGCTCTGAAGGCATTTGACAGCCGTACTAGTAATTCCACTAGTACTGGACACCTCGGTGGATTACTACAATCATCCACGTACATCGCGGGCCTTAGTGGCGGTGGGTGGCTTCTTGGTTCTATCTACATGAACAACTTTTCCTCCGTTTCCTCCTTGCAGACTCATGAAGCCGGAGATCCGTGGCAGTTTTCGAGCTCCATGTTCGTAGGCCCGGCTGTTGGCGGTGATGCTTTGGGGTACTTTGAAGCAATTCAAAGTGCAGTCCAAGCCAAGCGTGATGCTGGATATCATACCTCGATCACTGACTATTGGTTAGTAACATGGGCTTATGAGGGGTCACACTGGCTAATGATTATCTGCAATTAATAGGGGTCGTGCACTATCCTACCAGCTCATCAAAGCCCCTGATGGTGGTGTCAACTATACTTGGTCCTCTATCGCGCAGACCAACGAGTTCAAGCAGGGAGAGATGCCTCTACCTATGCTTGTAGCCGACGGCCGCAATCCCGGAGAACTTACCATCAAAAACGTCACTGTCTATGAATTCAGCCCCTGGGAATTTGGTACATTCGACCCTACGATATATGGCTTCGTTCCGCTAGAGTACTTGGGCTCAAAATTCGAGGCCGGGAAATTGCTCAAGGACGAGAGCTGTGTTCGAGGCTTTGATAATGCAGGCTTCGTCATGGGAAGCTCATCAACTCTCTTCAACCAGTTCCTTCTTAACGTCAATTCAACCAAGATACCGAAATTTATCAAGGAAATTTTGAACAATATCCTCACTGACATTGGAGACAAGGACTACGATATTGCACGCTATACGCCCAATCCATTTTACAAATACTCTAGCTCACCCCTTGCAGACTCGACTTCCTTGGATGTTGTGGACGGCGGAGAAGATCTACAGAACCTCCCATTGCATCCTCTAATTCAGCCTGAAAGAAACGTTGATGTTATTTTTGCCGTTGATTCATCTGCCGACACCGACAAAAACTGGCCTAACGGTACGGCGCTTATTGCTACCTACGAACGTAGTCTGGACACTATCGCCAACAAGATGGGCTTCCCGGCTGTTCCAGACGTGAATACCTTCCTCAATCTAGGGCTCAATACCCGGCCAGCATTCTTCGGCTGCAACAGCTCTAATATCACGGGAACTGGGACATCTCCCTTAGTGGTATATATTCCAAACTATCCATATGTGACGCACTCGAACGTTTCCACCTTTGATCCCGCCTACGACGATATCGAACGCGATGCAATCATCCTCAACGGCTACAATGTAGCCACAATGGCCAACTCTACCCGTGATAAGGATTGGTCCGCATGTGTGGGATGTGCTATTTTAAGCCGTTCCTTAGAACGCACCAGAACTCCAATCCCTGATATCTGCAATCGGTGCTTTGACCGTTACTGCTGGGATGGGAAGCTGGATACCAAACCCTCGGCTGGCTATTACCCGGATCTTTTTCTGAGTGAAGTCAACCCAACTAGTGTTGCTGGTAAAACTGCTTTGTTCCCAGGATTTGGGATCGTGGTGCTTACCACTGTCATTCTTTTCCACCACCTTTCTCTCTTTTGATCTCTTTATTTTGTCCTGAATTAGCTGTAACAGCTTTTAACTTTCTTTGAGTGCGTATGCGCTGTCATGTATACTCTTCAATCTTGCTCTTTCCTGTGTATTATTTGATTGAAAAACTGAGCTAAAGCCAGCTACTACATTTTTTGTTAAGTGTGTATAAGTAGCCTATTATTGGAATAGTTAATATCATTGAACAGTTCCTCCAAGACGATCCGGATCGTGTTAGATACCCAATAATAAACCTGGCAACAATAGAGTATACAATGAAGCCAATTTTGGATATATTGCTGTAAGCAGAAACAAATAGTTCAAGCCTCGAGTATGCGGAAGATAGTACAAGTGCTTGGCTTCTCGGTGTCTTCTAAGCTACACTTAACTAATAACCTCTCCACCTGGTTGATTATTTCTGTAAGCTGTCTGAGGTCAATAAGTAAAATGCCTTTACGGCGCAGATATCCCCCCCCCCCCAAAAAAAAAAATTAAATTAAAAAAGTCGGGGTTTGCTGGAAGCCGTTGGGCTATACCGCAATAAGTTAGACTAACGGTATACTAATGGAAGAATCGAAAGACTTCGTTTGTGATAGAGCCGAAGATACACAATGGCAGACGGACCAATTAAGAATTTCTGAAAAGAAAAGGAGCCAGAATAACGAGAAGGAAACA